TTTACCTTGTTTAAAAATACTTCTCAACTCAAAACATTTTGAATTTTTCTGTATTAAAAAAATTTCAGTAACCTGCCTTAAATTGCTTTTGATGCATATTTGGATATAAATTTAAAAACAAGGGTGAAATAGTTTGTGTGATTATTAGGAAGCTCAAAAGAACAGAATTAAGAAACAGCCTATTGCTTAAATTATTCTTAATGCTAGAATAGAAAATGAATAACCATAAAAAAGCATGACTTCTTAACCAGAAATAACTTATTTGTTGATACATACAAATAAACATGTCTTAAGTTAAATATCTGGCTTTACTTGAAGTAATCCTAATACTATAGTACTTATTTATAAATTAAATTCCAAACGGTATATGGATCTGCATAGATAATGACATTTTGAAAACTGTATTTCGCTATATAAAATGGCCCACTGAAATGTGATTCTCATGAAAATACCTATGATATCTACATTAATACACACTGGAAAGATAGTAATCTGAAACTTCTGTGATTTCCACATGAATCAACAGTGGAACATTGCTTAATGTAACACTCAATTACATCATGTTTAATTTATGTGGAAATGTTTGGAAATGCTTAAAACGTCTGTGGTAAATCATTTCAGAGTCTTAATTAAACACTTTTCTATGCTAAATTGCTCTGTAACCACTTAAATAATATTCTTACGTAACTATCAGTTTATTGTGAAAGACTCTAAACCCAAATCATTATATTTTCTTCCTTGTATGATCCAAAGCTTGTATCCTTCAAGGATTCATTTTCCTGTCACGTGGCAAATAATTCTAACACTCATAGAATGCTTTTTCCATCTCATAGCTAGTTATTTTTTAACTCACAATATTTATTTCTTGATATGTAAATATCATAGTGAGTTATAGTGTCTCCAATAATGATTAAGTCTTAAACTTTGATATTCTTTCCCCCAATAATATTACTAAATATAATGTTCTTCTCCCAGACTCAATTACTTTTATTATAAGGAGTATTTAAGAAAGGAGTTCAATTTCATAGTAGAAACTAGTTGAAATGTAATTTTTATATTTGGCATATGAAAGATTTTATGTTAAGCTGAGAAATAAATATTTTGAATCAGAAAAATACAACTAAAAATCAATAACTTCACAGGTACAGTCTCTATAACTATAAAATCCAGGAAATGAGAGTCCCTTTAGGGTTTAAATCACTACCTGCTTAAATGTTTCAATAAAATAAACCCTTTTCATAATGTTTTATGTGCACACTTACTTAAAATATAGTATTTTTCAAGAGCTATGATTGCTTTATGTAATGTAATTTAGTTAAAATAGATGCAAATTTATATAATTCCAGTTACATATGAACTTAAAATTAGACATTTGCTGCTTTTTGTATCATTTTCCAGAAAAATGAGTCAACAACTAACTAGGAAACAGTACTAGTCAACTCTTGATTATAAATTAACAAAAATCAGTAACAACAGCAACACAGACTGCGTATAATACAGATAAAAGGAATATAGAGAGTGTACTACTGGGCTTGTAATTAGGCTGAGGCCTCACTGGAACTATATGAATCTCCTCCTCTACTTCACTTCCTTTGCCTTCAGTTTGAATCTCAGTGGGCCATGATTCTTTTTCCTGTATAGTGAGGGATCTGAACCCCTTGTGGCCCTCCTGAATTAGATTGCAGTATAATTTCATTGACATTTTCTTCCTATCCCCAAATATAGCAATAACTATACTTTCCTTCAAGGGAAACAAGAAAACACAGTAACACATTAACAACGGTAACGATCTTTTTGTTTCCCTGATTATCTAGGGCACAAAAAATCCAAACTCATCAGGTACAGCCTTAGTTTACAAATAAATGCAATATTATTGTGTCTCTTGGAAAAGAATTCCCCTTCTCTTGGTGCTATGCTATCAGAGTCCAAAATCAAAAGGACACAAAGCAAACAATTAGAAGGTGTCAGTAAATGTAATCTCAAAGCCTTGCATCCCAGTTTCCAATCCTAGGATTCTAGGCCCATATATTTTAGCTAAGGGGGTAACAGAACTCCATGTGATAGTCACTTGTTCAGAACATAAACCATATTCTGCAGGACAGCACTTTAAATTTGCAAGCTGTTAACTCTGGATGAAGCTCATCTGAGTTTTCAATGACGAGTAATGAAGTATGCAATAATACCAACGAATCTCTTGAACATTAGGCCATTGCCTTGTTTCTTTATAAAGTTATTGCCTTGTTTCTTTATAAAGTTATTTCCTTTAAACTGAAGCAATTTTGTGTGGGATACCATGCCCTTGCATAAGGTAGACAATTAATCTATAGACAGAGCAAGGACAGAAAAAAATGATCAACAAAAGCAAAAAAAAAAAAAAAAAAAAAATATCCAGAATATTTATTGCAAGAAGGAAAGATTTCTGCTCCTCACTCTTTATTCCCTAAAAGATGGCAGCAGCGCACTCTAGACAACCTGACACCAAATAGTTCTTTGGTTCTTCTAGGTATAATGCTTATAAGGAGCTTACGATAGTCTGCTGCTATTAGAAAATCGAGTATTCATCAAGACCATAGCCATATTACCATTGGGAAGAACTCCATGTTGTTGAAATCATGAATAACCTTCATTACTTCCATGATGAACATGTGGTTCTTGAGTCCACTAGAATTTCCTGAGAAAGAAGAGTGACCTATGCCTACTTAATGGGTCACCTTATTCACACTAGAGGCTTTGTGGTGAATACATAACTTCCCAAAAAATATATTCACATCCTGGGCTCACTATAAAGGATCATACCCCTTCAGCATACCCTTTCCCCAAAGTTCTTCCACATGCTCCAAGGACACTATTTTCAAGTGCCTGGCTGTCTACCCAGTACATAACAGCTGAATTGGTATAGGTTCCCATTCTAGTTATTGTTGTTGCATAAAAAAATTAACCCACAGCTTTGTGTTTCAAAACCATTATTTTATTCTAATCATGGATTCTGTAGGTAAGGAATTGGAGTGGGAGACTGTTTGTCTTTGCTCTATGTCTGTGATCTCAGCTAGGAAGTCTTGAAGCCTGGAGATGACTCGATTGTAGGCTGGAAGCATCTGAAAGTTTGTTCACTCACATGTCTGGTACCTAAACTGGTCTGACTCAAAGACTAGGACTGGTGACTGGGGCCCCTACACATGGCCTCTCTTGGCAACCACATAGCATGACAGCTACAAGGTAGTAGGATTTCATTCCAGGTGACAACAGGAAATAATTGAATTACTGTTTCACCTTTCCATGCTAGGATCAGGCAAATCTAAATTCCATCACTAAAATGATTAGGATCTAAAATTTCTTCAGCCTCAACAAGGCCAGATAAAAACCCTAAATTCTGCCCATTTCATGGAAGCTCTGTGCTATAACTGGCTACTGGTAACAATTTCTGTTTCAATCAGGGTCTTTGTTGCACAACAAAATAGACTCTTGCTTTACTAACCAGAAAAGAACTACATTGAAAGAATATAGGTTGGCTCAGATAGTCCATAAGAAGGCTAAAAGTACCTCTCCCAGGAAATGGACCTTAGAGAGTGGGAAGAGAACATGTATCTAAACTTATATCTCCATAACAGCTTGATAGGACATTGTCACTAGCAGTGTCACCACTAGGTCCTCACCATTGCTGCTGGCATGAACATCTATCACTACTATGACTATTTGACCTAGTCAAGTTCTGTTGCCTCCAGAACAACCCCTAACTATCCCAATTCTGTCATTTACTACAGAGCTAACATTCCTGCATAGAGTATCCTATTGGCTAAACCTAAGAGATATACCTGCATCTTAATTCATGGGGTGAGAAGAGGGGCTGAATGTTCTTTCCAGTTCCCTACAGGGAAGTGGGGTTTTACTTCACCACATTTACACAACCAAATTCCTCCCAAGTAGAAAAGGGGCTTAGATTATGTGTAGACAAAAAATAAAGCAAATACCCATTGAACATACTTAATCTGATTATTTAATAATTAAAATGATTGAATAAGTGAATTAAGAGTTAGTTTGATTTCTTTAACTTTTTTCATTTATAAAATAAGTGTTTGACCTGTGATCTCTGATTTTATTATAACTTCAAATTCTCTTTTAAAAATTACTGTCACCTGGGCATGGTGGCTCAGCTGGGCATGGTGACCTAAAATCCCAGCATTTTGGAAGGCTGAGGTGAGAGGATCACATGAGACCAGGAGTTCAAGACCAACCTGGTCAACAGGGAGACTCTGTTTCTACAGTAAATAAATGAATAAATTAATAAAAATTTAAAAATTAGCCAGGCATGTGGTACATGGCTGTGGTCCTATCTACTCAAGAGGTTGATGTGGGAGGATCACTTGAGCCTGGGCAGTCAAGGCTCTAGTGAGCCATTATTGTTCCATTGCATTCCATTCTAGGCAACAGAGCAAGACTCTGTCTTAAAAAAAAAGGAAAAAATATTTTTGTCAGTGCTATTTGCAGAGGCTCATCTGCATGGTGGAGCCTTATGCCCAGGACTCGGCAGTACCCACTGCACAAATTTCATGAAACTCCTGACGAACCAAGTAGGCTAACATTTTGAAGTTCCAATGGCTTGTTTTATATGTGTATATACAACAGGTATAATTAAAGATTATGGAACAAAGTTGGTTAAATGTAGTGGGGCTGCATCTAATTTTCCATTGTGTGAGCAGAAATGTCAGTTTTTTTTTGACATTATCTAATTGTGCTTTCTGAATTACAACACAGCTTGATTGTCTAGAGATAGCATATAAACTAGCAGACAGCAAACTCAGGAAACCCCTTTCCCAAGGATGCAGGTTCTGGTACAGAAATCCTTCCATGAGAGGCTAGGTTCCAAGATTCTCTATGAGGAAATTTCAGAACTTTCTGTTTAATGCACCTCCTCTGAGTCATTCCTTCAGCAACCTAGATCTCAACTGTGGGAATGATTCAATCTTTTTAAGCCAATACAGAATCTTTTCTCTCTCCTTCAGGAAAGATTGCAAATATTCTTGGAGGAAAAGGTGATGACACTCCAGAACTGGCTGGCTTTCCTCTTCACAGTGGATCTGTGATGGTTCCCAAGGAAAATGCCTACAGGGAATCTCCCTGGCTTCATCTTTTGGCAGCCAATGCCGAACCAAACTCAGATCTTCAGAAAAGATTTCACTTACGGTGGCTTTCACAGTATGTTTTATTATTGAAAAATTAGGAGTAGTAACAGTACCTAGGGCATATGGTGGTTGTGAAGACTAAGTGAAATGAGCTTAGAACAGTACGGGGCCTACAGTAAGCACTAGAAATGCGTTACATATCACTCTTATTATTTAAAATGATGCCCAAATTTCTTTGCAGAATATTCAGCACCCCTCATGATCTTGCCCCTGCTTTCTTGTCTGGCTTTAACTCATCATACTCCATACCATTTTTTCCCTGGCACCAGAAAAGCTCTGTTCCACACCTACTGAACTACTTGTAGTTATCCTGAACCTTCCATTCTTTCTCTTGGCTTAGGGCTTTACACATGCAGCTCTCTGTCTAGAACATCTTATCCTACATAATTTGTCAGATTAAATTCAACTCATTCTTTGGGACCTTGCTTCATAGTTAGATGTTGCAAAAGCTTTTCTGTTCTCCAAACTTGGGCCTGGTCCTATGTCTTACTAGATGCCCTTTAGGACTGTCCTAATCCATTCAGGCTGCAATAACAAAATACCATAAACTGGGTGGCTAACAAACAACAGAAATTTATTTTTCACACCTCTGGAGGCTACGAAGTCCAAGATCAAGGCACTGGCAGATTCATGTCTTGTGAAGGCCCACTTTCTAGTTCATAGTTGATATCTTGTTACCAGGGGCAAGGGTACCTCTGGAGCCCCTATTAAAAGGGCACTAACCTGATTCATGGGGGCTCTGTCCTCATGACCTAATCACTTCCCAAATACTCCACCTTCTAATACCATCCCATTGGGGAATAGGATTTCAACATAGGAGTTTCAGACCATAGTAAGTACCCTCTGTTTACCCCTGCCTCTGTGGAAGTTCATTGTAAACTGCTTGATTCTTTGGCTATTTCCTCCATTTGTCCGTAAGATTCCTAGAGGTGGAATTTCCTGATGGTATAGCATATCACAGTGCGTGGAACATATCACATATCCCATAAATAAAGAAATAATGAGAAATAGGCCACTTGTGGCATGATAGAGTTATTTCAAAATAGAAACAAAGAAAAGCAAGATATATTGGTGGCAATAACAAAACATCATGTATATTTTTAGCCCAAAATATTTAAGCATATTAGGAATACATAAATAAATGAGGCATTTGGGGTATAAATATCTCTCACTCAAAATGGAAATTTGTAATCATTTTATATCACATATTTGTACAAATGTACTGTAAAATGTAATTAATACTAAAAGAAAATTATTGTACTGGATAGGGAAAATCAAATTGGTAAATTGATTAATTATATTCCTAATTATTTCTTACATTTTTGTTTTCATTTTTGTTTTTCAGTTAGGGCATCAGCCTTAACTTTGGAATAAAGATGTTCATTGATCCTGGTTTACTGGACTTTAATCCAGTACTACTGAATTGAAGCACACTGTGAACTACAAACATATTTTCATTCACCATGGCAGATGCTCTTTGAAACTTGCATTGTGAGGACAGAAGTTCAATTAATGTGTTTCCCATTTATTCTGCTGACAGATAGAGGCCAAATGACAAAATAGAAAGATCTTCGACTAAGTGTCAAGAAAAAAACTAGTGTTCTAGAGTCATCTTTGCCACTTAAGATAGCCTTGTGACTATAAGTGTGCCATCCAACATCTTGGAGGTTCAGAAATGGAATGGAAATATATTTTGTAAGTGGCATAGCATAATGAAAGAAATAACCCCCAACACATAAATGTTTGTAGAATCCTGGCTCTGTCACTCCTACTTAGGTGACCACTAAATCATCTGTTTCCATTTTCTCTTTCACTTATTTAATATACATTTAGTGGTTAGCATAAACAGACACTATTTGAGAATTAAAAAATGAAATAAGCGGTTGCTATCTAGAGAAATGCAGCATTTAATGTGAAAAGCAGGCATCCAAACCTTGCATGATACGGTTAATAGAAGTCTTTCTCAAATTTTTATGTGTATAAGAACCATTGTGGTTCACTGCATCTGGAGTGGGACCTGGGATTCTTCATTTTACACAAGCTGCCAGGCTATGGATACTGCTGATCAATGAATCACGGTTTGAGAAGTGAGTGTAATAAAATATAAACAGAGATATGCTACCACAGCACAGAAAAAAAAGAAACTAACTCAACTATGTAAGATCCAAAGAGGAATTGAGATGGAGTTGAAGGATGAGTAACAGAAGGTGCAAAGCAAGATAATTAAATGTCTTTGAGTAGAGGCACTATTTCATACAGAACACAGCGGTGTGAATTGCCATGGTGTGGGTGTAGAAAAATGATACCACACTGGGGAGTCATGTGTAGGGAGACCAGTTTTCAGGAAGAGCAACAGTTCACTTGGGAGGTAATGAAGGCCTGAATTACTTTAGTGTATTCATGTAACTATTCATAGCTGAGTTTTCTAAAAGTTATAGTGGAGAGGGCTTAATGAAGGGGGAAATGAAGGGAGGAAATGAAGGGAGGATAAAAAGAAAAAGAAAGTACATTTCTCCCATTATATTTATGAGGTAAAAAGTGTCAAGACCATGGCCATATTCAGTGGCTCATCTGTGTAATCCCAGTGCTTTGGGAGGCTGAGGTGGGAGGATCACTTGAAGCCAGGAGTTCAAGATCAGTCGAGGCAACATAGCAAGATCCTATCACTACATAAAATTAGTTGGGTGTGGTGCCACATGTCTGTAGACCTGAGTACTTGCGGGGCTAAGGCAGGATCACTTGCACCCAGGGTTCAAGGTTACAGTGAGCTATGATCAAGCCACTGCACTCCAGCCTGAGTAACAGAGCAAAACCCTGTTTAAAAAAAAAAAAAAAAAAAAGAAGATAAAAAGAAAAAAAAAATGACAGAACCAAATTGGTAATGTTGTTTTTGTCAAAATTACCATTTATGTCAACATTACCATTTTGTCAAATTGGCAATGTTTTTAAGATAAGTGTTAGAGTAGGAGAAACAGTTTCAGATTTGTCAGAGGAGGTTAAAAGCGAAGATAAAATGAATTTGAACATGTAAAACTTAATGACTGAGGGACATATTTCCAGGGCCAGGATAATTTACTTAATAACAGGAAAGCAATAATAGATCTTTAAACCCAGAGTTTAGAGAATTCTAGGATAAAGGCTACTTTCTACTTAGCAATAAATTAAATTTTTTTTGAAAAAATATTAACATTTTAGCATCGTTTCATGAATCCTTTCCGTAATTTTGTTTTCTCATTTGTAAATTATCTGTGTATTTCTTAAAGTTGGCTGTTAGACTTCTAATCTTATTAAGAATAATGCCAATAAGATGTCAGAAGAAGATGCCCAGACCTTGCTCCCCAACAGAAACACTGACTTAACAATACATAGCCCAAAAAGCCTTTATGACAATGGTAGAAATCAGTTAGAAAGTTGAAGTACACCAGTCAAGCACAAAGCCAAGAATAGCCCCATTGAAATGGGAAGGAGAAGCAAACTCCTCCTCTAAGCTGTTATAGTACATAATCTGAATGCAAAGCCCCAATGTACAGCTTCTCCTTTGTAGGGAAAAGGTACAGCTTCTCCTTTGTAGGGAAAGAAGAAGTTGGAATGTATGTCTAAGTTCCAGCTTATGTGGTGGGAGGAGGGTGCTGCCTGAGAGATTGGTTTTGACCTCTCCTAACTTGGAGCATTAACAGGGAACCAGGATGCTTTAGATGCCTGAGAACAAAGTGCAGTTCAGTGAATTGTGGCAGCACCAGAGAAACTGATGTACTGCAGACAGACACCAGAGAGAGCAAGAGATGACAAGTTCCTGAAAAAGAAACTGGCAAACCTCTTTCACTATAAAATTACATGTACAAGTTCAGAGAGAAGATGCATTCCCATAAATGGTTTGTGAAGCCACTAGAATCTCTATACAGGCTGATTTGTGAAGGTTTTCCCTGTACAAAACCAGTGCACAAAGATTGGGAGTAGGGGCTGCGTTTCAAATGCAAAAATCACAGTAAAAAATAAGGCACACAAAGAAATAAGAAAACGTGGCCAATTCAAAGGAATAAAGCCAATTTTCAAACACCAATTCTAAGAAACAATGAAGATCTGTGAAGGTAGCTAACAAAGAATTAAAAATAATTATCTAAAGAACATCAGTGTGCTTTCAGAGAAGACAGAAAACTAAATAAAATTAGAAAAATGATGCATGAACAAATTAAGAGTATCATTAAATAGATTTAAAAAACAAGAAAACTAATGAAACAGTACCAAACAAATTCTGGAGCTGACAAATAAAATAATTGAATTGAAAAATTCACTAGAACGGATGAAAGTAGACTTGATCAAGCAGAAGAAAGAGTCAGTGACTTCAAAGACATTGAAATTTCAAAGAACAAAAGAACAAACAACAAAGAATAAAAGAACAATGAAAAGTGTTGAAAGCCTAAGGAACTTATAAGACCCCATCAAGCAGAGCAATATATACATTATAAAAGTCTCAGAAGAAGAAAAGAGAGAGAATGGGACAGGGAGATTATCTAAAGAAATAATAGCTAAACACTTCCCAAATCTGAGAAAGAAAATGGTTATCCAAATTCAAAAAGCTCCAGGAACAATAATGTTGATGAATGTAAAAAAGCTGACACTAAGAAACATTATAAACTGTCAAAAGGCAAATGACAAAAAGAGGCTCTTAAAAGCAGCAAGAGAAAAGTAACTCATTATATACAAGGGAACTTCCATAAGTTTATAAATGGATCTCTCAGCAGCAACACCTGCATTACAAAAGAAGAAAGATCTCAATTCACCAATCAAATTTACACCTTAAGTAACTAGAAAAAGAAGATCAAACTAAACCTACAGTTAGCAGAAGGAAGGAAATAATAAAGGGTAGAGAAGAGATTAATAAAATAGAGCAGAGAAAAAAAGTCAGCAAAGCTGAGTTCATTCTTTGAAAAGATCAACAAAATTGACAAACTAATCTTCTCAAAATCTTCAAAAAAATAGAAGGGGGGAAACACTGCCTCTTGAGGCAAAAATCCTCAACAAAATACTAGCAAACCAATACAGAACACATTAGAAAGATTATACATCATGACTAAGTGAAATTTATTCCTGGAAGGCAAGGATGGTTCAACATATGAAAATCAATCAATGTAATATACTACATTAACAGAATGATGAACAAAAACCATATTATCATCTTAATTGATGCAGAAAAAGCATTTTGCAAAACTCTAAAAACTTTCATCATAAAAACACTCAACACACACACACACTAAAGGGAATGACATCCACATAATAAAGGCCATATATGAAAAGCCTACAGCCAACATCATGCCAATGGTGAAAAACTGAAAACTTTTCATCTAAGATAAAAAGCAAGGCAAGAATACCCACTCTTGTCACTTCCCTTCAACACAGCACTGGAATATCTAGCCAGAGCAATCAGACAAGAAAAAGAAATAAACAGAATCCAAACACAAAAGGACTAAGTAAAATTATCTATGTCTACAGATAACATGATATTGTATGTAGGAACACCCTAATGATTCTAAAAAAAAAAACCTGTTAGAACTAATAAACATATTCAGCAAAGTTGAAGAATACAAAATCAATATGCAAAAATCAGTTGCATATCTCCCATCCAAGTACTAACCAGGCCCTACCCTGCTTAGCTTCTGAAATCAGATGAGATTGGGTGTGTTCAGGGTGATATGGCTGTAGACAGTCAGTTTCATTTCTATACATTAACAATAAACAATCTGACAATAATTTAAGAAAAAATATGATTTTCAATAGCATCAGAAAGAATACTTAGGAATAAGCTTAAGCCAAGATTAAAAAACTTGTACACTGAAAACTATAAAATGTTGCTGAAAGAAATTAACAGAGGCACAAACAAATGGAAACACACCATGTTCATGGATTGTAAGATTTAATATTGTTAAAATATCCACCCTACTCAGACCAAACAATGAATTCAATACAATCAGTATCAAAATCCTAATGGCATATTTTTTTTGTAGAAATTAAAAAAGAATCCTAAAATTAATATGGAATCTCAAAGGACAATGATGAAATGTCTTCTATGAAGGAACCAAGGCTACACAAGAGAGAAAAGACAGTCTATTCAGCAAATGATATTGGGAAAACTGTATCTATATGCAAAAGAATGAAATTGGACCCTTACCTTATACCATATACAAAACTTAAAATTGATTAAAGATCAAAATGTAAGATCTGAAACTATGAAACTCCTAAAAGAAAGGAAAAAAGTCTTCATTACGTTGGACTTTTTAGTGATTTCTTGGATTTGACACCAAAAACATAAGCAATAATCGCAAAAATAGATAAATGGGACTAATCTAGCTTGAAAACTCTGCACAGCAAAGAAAACAATCAACAGAGTGAAAAGGTAACTTATGAAATTGGAGAAAATATTTGCCAACTATATGTCTCATAAGGGATTAATATTCAGAATGCACAAAAAAACTCCCACAACTCAACAAGAAAAAGTAAAACAGCCCAATTTAAAAATGGGCAAAGGAATAGATATTTCTCCAAAAAAGATACACAAATAGCCAACAAGCATATGAAAAGATGCTAAACCTCACTAATCATTAGGGAAATGCAAATCAAATACACAATAAGATGTCACCTCACACCAGTTAAGATGGCCACTGTCAAAATACCAGAAAATAGCAAGCATTGGTGAAGCCATGGAGAAATTGGAACACCTACACATTGTTGGTGAGAATGTAAAATAGTATAACCATTATGGAAAAAATTAAGGAGATTCCTCAAAAAATTAAAAATAGAATTATCATATGACCCAGCAATCCCACTTCTAGGTACATACACAAAAGTATTGAAAACAGGGACTCAGAAACATATTTGTGTACCAACATTCATTGCAGCATTATTTACAATAGCCAAGAAGTGGAAGCAACATTAATGTCTACCAACAGTTGAATAGATTTTATAAAACATATTATTCAGTGTATTAATCCATTTTCATGCAAAACTGGGAAGAAAAAGAGGTTTAGTGGACTTACAGTTCCACATGGCTGGGGAGGCCTCACAATCATGGTGGAAGGCAAGGAGGAGCAATCCACATCTTACATGTATGGTGGCAGGCAAAGAGAGAGCTTGTGCAGGGAAACTCTTGTTTTTAAAACCGTCAGATCTCATGAGACTTATTCACTATCACAAGAACAGCATGGGAAAGACCCGCCCCAGGATTCAATTACTTCCCAATGGGTCCCTCCCACGACAAGTGGCAACTACAGAAGCTACAAGATGAGATTTGGGTGGGGACACAGATCCAAATCATATCATTAAGCCTAAAGAAGGAATAACCCTGTTGAGATATACAACATGGAGGACATTATGTTGACTAAAATAAGCTAGTCACAATAAGACAAATGCCACATGCTCCCACTCATATATAAAACTGTCAAATTTTTAGAAACAGATAATAGAATGCTGATTGCTAGGGACTAGAGGGAGGGAGAAATAGTTATTGTTTAATGAGCATAAGATTTCAGTTTTACAAGATGAGAAGAGTTCTGGATATGGATGATGGTGATATTTGTACAACATTCTGAAAGTACTTAGTACCACTGAACTGTACACTTAAAAATGATTGTAGTCATAAATTTTCTACTATGTTTTGACCACATTAAAATGATTTTTAATACAGTATATTTTAATCTTGCCTGTGGTGGGTCATATAATACAATTAATTTTCTATCTCTTCCTCTCAATTATTGCCAGCATCATGTCAGCTGCTTTTGTAGAAAAGTGATTACTGATTGTATCTTCTCTTCACAGTTCCCTTTGATTTCTCATGAATTCTATTTGATTACATTCCAGACTCTTTAAAAAAATTATTCTGAAATGATTTTTCATAGATGAATTATTTTTGGTAGCAAGTAATATTGGAAGTCTAAAAGAAGTACTATACAGTAAAATGAATTTAGTAAACTTTTGTCTGTATTTGTAGAGCTGATTTCTTTTATATAACAGGAGTTTCAAAATCATGAATCCCCAGGGTCAGAGAGGTAATGTAGTGGAGTGAAGCGGGCTGGGTGTAGCTATTCATAGTTCCAGGAAATTGATATTCTGTGGGAATGCACATCCTCTCAGGAGCTTCTGATTTTTACAGAGAAGTAGAGATTTGGATTTTCATTTGAAATCTACTGATCTTACCTATATTGGTTTAAATATTTTAAAAATACTATTTATAATTGTTATGGGTTGAATGTGTCCCCTAAAAAGATATGTCAAAGACTTAACCCCAATACCTGTGAATATGACCTTATTTTGAAATAAGGTCTTGCAGATGTAATCAAGTTACAGTGAGGTCATTAGGGTGGGCCTTAATACCATACAACTGGTGCCATTATAAGAAAAAGGAAAGAGAAAAATACATAGGGAGAATGCCACGTGAAGACTGAAGCAGAGATTGAACAGAAGCATTTATAAGCCAAGGATTCTCAGCATCATCAGAAGCCAGAGGTGAAGCATGAAACAGATTCTACTTCAAATTCCTCAAAGGAACCAACCTTGCCACAACTTGATTCAGGAGTCTAGCCCCCGGAACCATGAGACAAAACATTCTATTGTTTTACTAAGCACCCAATTTGTGGCACTTTGTTATGGCACTCCTGTGAAACTAATGCCATAGTAAGTAAACAGAACTGTGAGTTTTATATATCGTTTGCCACCATATCATAGTAGTAATCTTATTATGGATTTTTAAAACTCAAGAATTTAAAAAAGTACATGTTTGTGGCTGTGCCTGTTTGGAATATGGCAAGGTACTTTGTGTCATTCTCAACATCTCCTCCATCCTCTGATCTCTTACTCCAAGAAATGAGCAGAAAGATAAGTATTTGAGTTTATTACCTCAATAAATATTAAAGACTTACCACGTGCCAGTTACTGGACTACGCGCAAGAAGTAAAACTATAAAAAAGAAAACCCCTTTTTCCTCAAGGAAGTTAGTGTTATAAAATCAGTTCTAATATAGTAACTGCGATGGTGAGGAAGAGGCACGGATTGCTGTAGGAAGACAGAGGGGGTGTCCCTAACACCAACAAGAGGCTAGGAAAGTGATCACGGGGGGAAATGAAAGTTGATTTGTCCTACAACTAGTATATACTAGAATTAAATTCAAACCCAAACCTTGCTCTGCCTCACCTCTGCTTTGGTTTTCTCATCTGCAAAGTGAGGATAACATTACTCCTTAAAGCTTTGTTGTGATTAAAAAAACAAAATAAATAGAAAACACACTGTCTCAAGGTCTGGACATGCTAGACCTTACTTCTCCCCACTCAAATCCGGACTTCCCCCCTGCCCTGTATACCTGGATGACATCTCCAAGGTGGAAATGGAAGAATACATCTCCCAGAATCCTGCTTGCAGTTAAGGGGAGCCTTGTGACCAGACCTGGCCAAGGTGTGAAAGCACAGAAGGGCCAGCATGTGATTTTCCCCTTGCAGGATCCAAGGAGACGATGTCTTCTAGATGGTAGAGCTGCAGATGATGATATTTGTGTCATCTTGGATCTCCCAGCAACCATGTGGAATCAGACCTCTGCCAAAGGGTCCTTTCCACATAATACAAACAAATCATTGTTTTGTTAAGCCACCAGGATTTGAGAGTAAAATTTTCATAACAATTTATCTTATTATATCCTAATTAATATACCTGTGCATAATACATGCTCTGCAAATGTCAGTTTTCTTCTTTCTTTTGAAAGTAATTTAGAAATAACCATTAACTTTTTAAAAGGTATTAAAAGTTAGGCTGTGTATTACCCAGCTGCATACAATATTCTTATTCTAGATCCTGAGACAAACCGAAAGCTTCTATGATAGTTGAGAAAGCAACTGTGTCCTAAGATGAGCTGAAATAAAAAACCCATTCATTGTCATAAAATAGTCGCATCTCATTAAAGATCATTTCTCTCATTTCTCCAAACCAAATTATTTAAGTATAAAAATAGCATAAGGACATTGAAAAAACATATCAATGCTAAAAATTTCAGCTTGAGGTTTCAGTCACTGTTTTTAACATATCTTCAAAGGGTTTTGACTGTCTTTACTGCAAATGGAAGACTTCCAGGAAGGGGTTATTCAACAAAAAGAAGTCTTATTTTCTTTACAAAATGGGACATAGGACGAAAGATCAGAGTAAATATAATACTAACTCTTCTGCTCAAACAAATCTAAATACTTTTGCCTAGCATTCCATGTCTTGATGATATGTTCTGATTTGTTAATCAACCTCATTTCCCACTTTTTCCCAACAAAGACCTCATTTTAACCAAATCTTCTCAAAGTCCACAAACAAGCCATATCCATTCTTTCTTTATGTCTTTACCCTTTTGCCTGAAATGCCCTTCTCTCTTATTTGGAGAATGAGCCCTGCGTCTACTTCCTGTAGTTGTACTTTGTCCTTCAGGATTCAATATTATTTTATGCCTAGTAATTTTGTCTCTTTTCTAGACTATAACTCTCCAAGAACAGAAATGATATTTTTTCACACTTTATCTTCTTATCCTCAAAGTTCTGGCACAGTACTGAACACAACACCAGCAGTAAGTAAATTCCTCTTGGTTGGCTGGTTGTGAGCCTGTGTGGAGAAGGATGGGTAATGAAGTGTGAGCAAGGAGAGTGGAAAATTGAAGTGGTTTTAGCAGAAGTTCTGGCAGCTGACATAAGAATCAGTCTCTGGAGGCAGGGAGGACTTAAAAATCATCTTCCACAGTTTTTCTTTGTTTGGTTGGTTGTTTTTTTATTGAGTTTTTTAAAGTTGAGTATTACCAATTAGTGACCATTTAACAATAAGGCTTACACTACCACTGCTCCATAGAGGATGAAAGTATGCAGTAAGGGACTTCAGAAACGTTCCTGCTTGGAAACAGCTCTGTGTGGTTGTAGAAAGAGGCCCTGTGAATGTTACTACTGTTCATATTTTAAATATCAAGTTCTATATTCTCTGCTATTGCCTCCACTTTTGTGAAAAAGATGCACGATCACTGGATACGATATATGTATTATGTCATTTCACCCAAACTGTCACTGAAGTTCTGGATGCAGCACAAAGAGGTTTTATGTAACAATGACATTTCAGTTTATTAATAATGTGATACATACTCATGCGAAGTGCATTGGTACCAGTAAGTAAAAAGATTTAAGATATGTAGGTAGGTTTTCTTCAGCTGCCTGATGTATTGTCACCTGTTAAAAATGTTATTTTCAAATATGTTAAAATAGGTGCTGAATTAGATTTGATGTTCTGAAAAGGAAAGATCATATGCTCAAGTCAGGGCCCTGAACTGAACTGCTTGAATGGAAGTAGAGGAGGAATGGATTGGGAGGGAGATGTTCACTTGAGCATAGTTACTCACTGGATAAGCATTTCTTGAATGCCAGGTGCTGTTCTAGACACCAAGGAGCTCTAAGGATTCCAGATAGACTTGCTCTCCACAACCACGGAGCATACATTCAATTTGGGGAGGTAGGCAATATGCAGATGAATAAATGCTCATGATGGCTTCAGGCAGCAGTAATTTCTCTGAAGAAAATAAAATAGGGTGATGTACCAGAGTGGTGAGGGAAGGGTTTTGGAGGAAAAGCTCTCTGGGGAGGTAACATGTAAGCAAAGTCCCAAGTGACACAAAGGAGATAGCTTTTCCCCAATGTGGAGAAACAGTCTCCCTGCAAAGGCCTTTAGGCTGGAGTGAGCTTAGTATGTTTGTGTTGGTAGAACAGGAGGAAGGCCAGCATGATGAAGGAGAAACGAGGGGGCAGATGAGACAGGATAAAATGGCAGGGGGCCGGATTGTAGGCCATGACAAGGGGCTTGGGTTTTAATTCTGTTAAAGATTGGAGCCCTGACTTCCTCTTTTATTGATTCTGGCAGGACCTGTCTACAGTCTGCCTCCATTGTCCACCTGTTCCTAGCTGGTGGCTTCAGCTGCCTGTTTTCCCTTTTTTCTGGTCCTGGCTGCTGTTTTGAGGAAACCACCATCTTTCAAACAGGAAGGCTTCAAGTCTTTGAGGGATTATTTGGAGAAAACAAATATTCTGTGACTCAGCCATTTCTCAAAGTACACCTGGTTCTCCTGTGTGACTATTTTAGCAACAAATAGAATACTAGTTATGAAGCAAACCTAAATGTGCGGATGGGTAAAATGGAGTGTGCTTTAGAAGCTCCATGTCATCTCTTGTGTCGGTGACAGGGCCAACATATTCATGTGGCTCAGTGGACATGGTACTTTGGACCCACAATAATTTTACGGGTACATACAGTCTTTTAATTTTTTAATAATAAAGAAATTAGCTTTTAATTAAATAAGATACTCACCTTTATACCAATGCATTCATAAAATATAATTTAAATATTTTTATGGAGGAAGGGACTTAGGAAGGCAGAAGGGCCTAGGGTCCAGGGAAATCGTGATGCAACCTTGTTACTGCTTATATAAGACATTAACATACTGTGTACTCTCCAATATAATTATTATTCTGAAAGAAAAACATCTTATTTTGCTTCTTTTTTTGTTTGTTTGTTTGTTTGTTTTTTGAGACAGAGTCTTGCTCTCTTGCCAGGCTGGAGTGCAATAGTGCGATCTCAGCTCACTGCAACCTCCAACTCCCTGGCTCAAGCGATTCTCCTACTTTAGCCTCGAATAGCTTGGATTACAGGCACACGCCACCACCCCCAGCTAATTTTTGTATTTTTAGTAGAGACAGGATTTTACCATGTTGGCCAGGATGGTCTCGATCTCCTGACTTTGTGATCCACCCTCTTCAGCCTCCCAAAGTGCTGGGATTACAGGCTTGAGCCACAGTGCCTGGTATGTTTTACTTTATTAAATTAATGGACTCTTAACTATTTGAATAATAGGCTACTGTACCATTATATTATATGGGGTATACTATATACATAATGTTAAAGCAAACTAAATATGGCCAGAGAAGGACTCTGTACTTGAGTCCTTTTGGACGAACTGCAACCTAACTCACTGGGTAGACAAGATTGAAACCTAACTTAGAAGCATGCACCTCTAGCAATAGATGAGTCTTGGTCAATACCAGCAGCCATACTTCAACCACTCATACCCTACTGAGTGTTCAAACTCTGTTCAAATAAGGCAAAATGCCAACCTGTAACCAATTCAGCTGTTTCTGTATCTCACTTTCAATTCCTGTATGGCACTTTACTTTTTTCTGTAAATCTGTTCTGGCCATGAGGCACCCATGGAGCCCCTCTGAATCTGCTGTGATTCTGGGGGGCTGCCCGATTCACAAATTGTTCATTGCTCAATTCTTTTAAATTTTGTTTGGCTGAAGATTTTCTTTTAACAATACTTATAGATATACAAGCAGAATATTTTAAAGACTAGATTAAAAGGGAAAAATAATATGTTTAAATAATTTTCCAGTTATTGATATATGAAATGCTTGCTCTTAATAAAGTTATTAATTTTTCAGTGAAAGCTATATAATTCCATATGCTGAAATTGGGTGAAAGTCTTACTGTAATATTTTGTAACCTAAAAATTTAGTTCAGCTTCTTATACTTGGTTCTAAAGGCTATCAGAGCTGAAAATTATACTTCACAAAAATCTGTATTTTTAATGGAAAGAGTACATGAAAGGCAGCACTTAAAAAATCGTGATACTAATTTTTCAATCCTAACAATTATACAAATGTTTTGTTGAAATTCATAAACTTGATGTCTTATTAGATATTTGTTTTTGACACCAAATCAGAAGTTGAATTGTTACATTTTTAGCAATGAGTTAATGACCCACTGAAATTCTTTATTTAGAAAATTTATAAACATATATAAAATGCTACCAAGGTTTTTTTTTTTGACAGAGTCTCACTCTGTCACCAGGTTGGAGTGTAGAGGCACGATCTCGGCTCACCGCAACCTGTGCCTCCTGGGTTCGAGCGATTCTCCTGCCTCAGACTCCCGAGTACCTGGGACTACAGGCACATGCCAACACGCCCAGCTAATTTTCGTATTTTTAGTAGAGATGGGTTTTCACCATGTTGGCCTGGATAGTCTCCATCTCTTGACCTTGTGATCTGCCCACCTCAACCTCCCAAAGTGCTGGGATTACAGGTATAAGTCACCATACCCAGCCGTTACCCAGTTGCTTTTGTTTGTTTGTTTTAGGTTTTATTTTTAGTGAGAAAGTCTTGCTTTGTTTCCCAGACTGGACACAAACTCCTGGGCCTTAGCGATCCTCCCATCTCAGCCTCCTGAGATATTGGGAATACAGGCACCCAGTTAGCATGCTTGGTTTAAGATTTTTTTCTTTCGTTTGTGTATTTTTAATTAAGAAGCAATTATAAGGATATTTATAGGTGACATATTTACATCTGCTGCTAACATGAAGCAAAACCACATAACAATAGAAATGTTTCTAAAGATTCGTTTTCAAAATGCTTTCTACTTTTGTGAGTTTCTTTCAAAAAGACAGTTGATGAATCACTCATTGATAAAACATCAATTTTATCTTGATGGAATGAATTTTAAACTGTCTTTAAAAAGTATTTACCTGGTAGCATTGTACGGAGACATACCTGTAATTGCAGCAAAGTTCAGCAAATTTGGAGCACTTAACTAATTTGCAATGTAAACTCAATTTTTTATTTCAACAACTACTTCAAGTTGTTTGAGAAGGATAACCAGTAGAACACAACCATTTCGTGGTCATTGTCTGCCTCATTACAAAGTATTTAAAGGTTATAATATTGAAAATAGTAAGTTTTAAGGTAACTTAATGGGAACGGGAAATCACAATCCATAGAAAACAGTGAAAGTTAATCCAAGAGTGTTGGAGTAATTCTCAAAGAACTTGGATTCTCGTAATATGCCCTGGGTGTAACTTATACACTTGGTATGATCTGAACTTTGCTAATATACAGAGGGTGTGAAGGTACCAATGTAAATATCTATATTAATGATTAGTAAAGCTTAATTTCTTTTTTTATTTTTTAGGCTAGAAATAACATAAATTGGAGGATTGATAGTTTCGTCTTGTACTGTAACAAATTCTTTTATTTTAGAGACCACTCTGTTAAATTGCTGTTGAGTGTTTCCCATCTTTTTAAACTTTTTATTCTGGTTGTCTTCTCCTAACATAATTATTTACAATGACATGGATAGCTTTTCATATTTTTGCCAACCAATGTGCTTTAATGACAACAACAAATAAACATGGAAATACAGACATCTTCCAAATATGCTACAGATTCATGCAGATTATTTTCAGGGTTTCTCATATCAATTGAAGTTAATAATAAAAGTTAGTTAAAAATTTTTTTCTACACTTGATCTGAAAGAAAAAAACCATGTCCTTTGCAGCAACATGGATGCAGCTGGAGGCCATTATTCTAAGTGAAGTAACTCAGGAAAGGAGAACAAATACGGGATATTCTCATTTGTAAGTGGGAGTTAAACATTAGTACTCACGGACATAAATACAGCAACAATAGACACTGGTAACTACAACAGTAGGAAGGGAGGGAGGAGAGCAATGGTTAAAAAACTAACTGTTGTATTTATGCTCAGTAGCTGGGTGACAAGATCAATTGTACCCCAAACCTCAGCATTATAAAATGTACACACGTATGTGTTCCTGCAATGTACCTGCACGTGTACCCCCTGATTCTAAAATAAATGTACCTGCACATATACCTCCTAATTCTAAAATAAAGGCTGAGCCTGGCACGGTGGCTAATGCCTGTCATTCCAGCACACTGAGAGGCAGAGGTGGTTGGATCACTTGAGATCAGGAGTTTGAGACCAGCCTGGCCAACACAGTGAAACCCCTTCTCTACTAAAAATACAAAAATTAGCTGGGTGTGGTGGTACGCACCTATAATCCCAGCTACTTGGGAGGCTGAGGCACAGGAATCACTTGAACCTGGAAGGCAGAGGTTGCAGTGAGCTGAGGTCACGCTGCTGCACTCTAGCCTGGGAAACAGAACAAGACTCCATCTCAAAATAAATAAATAAATAAAATAAAATAAAGGTTGAAATTGTAAAAAAGAAAATAATAATTTCTGTAATTAAAAAGCAATTTTACCTCTCTTTATTACTAAGTAGTTCAAAGACAAAATATTAGAAAAATAAAAGAGCATCTTAATAGTGAAGATAAAGTTATACAATTAATTGACTTCATTTTTAATTCAAAGTGTACTATAACTTCAGTTGCTGGTAGTTCAATTCACACTTGAAGCAAGTCTGAAATTTAACTTAGAATAGTATTCCTAAATGTTTTCTAAGTAAGATTTACTAGAAATCCATTGTCCATCAGTATGGCCTAGACTTTGTCAACCTGCTTTTATTCAAAAAGGAGGCAGGGGGAAGCCTGGAGAAATAAACCAGGTCTGAAGTAACATTTTACAAAGATACAAAAACTTTGTTAAAAAAGTTTTGAAAGTCAATGGTCACAAAAAAATTCTATTCAGCTCATCAAATTTACCTTAGCCTAATCCATATTTACCAACTTAGTTCCTCCTAGCTATTTTCACCATCTTCTATCATTAAACTAAGACAGTAGTCCTCAGTCTTGAAACTAGCAGAAATAACCCCTTGATGGAAGTAATAGCTACCTACCTCTCCAACCACAAACTTCTCTGTCTACTTTGAGGCTTCTTCTTCCTCCTTCTGCCCCGTGAATGTTCCTGCCTGAGGTTTGTTCAAGTCTTTACTTTAAATGACCTTGCCTCTGACAATCTCATTTGCTCTATGATTTCAATTACTGTCCCTCTGCAGAATAATCCCCAACAGATGACTTTAGAGGAGATTTTTCAAACTACAGGCAGGCATTCCAACTTCCTGCTGTGCATCTACATTTGGATATCCTACAAGCAATGCAAATGTAATGTATACAAAACCAAAAGCATGATTGACCTACACCCTTGATTTAAGTCCTTAATTTCTGTAAATGCTCCATTCCCTACCTACCTTGTCTTGAAGCTCAGGGCTTCTTTGAATTGTTCCTCTCCTTTCCCACTGTCCTACCCTTACTATCATCACTCGCACTATTTTCAATAGCTTCTTAAATTGTCTCTTTACTTCCAATTGAGGAACGTGTCAACTTGATCATCACTGTAAAGTATGGCTTTAATCATGTTTCATAAGTTCTTTAAAAACCTTTGTTTGCTTCTGAATACCCATAGAAGAATGTTCAAATTGCTCCATCTGGCATTCAAGAATTTAAAGATCTGTCAAACTTTCCTGGGTTTATCCCCCATCATTTGATAACTTATAGCTTATACACTCAAGTTGAATTTTATTACTTAATATTTTCCTAATATAGCATGCAATCTCTTGCTCCTTCATATTTTTCTGATATTGTCTATCCTGTCTCTAGGTTGAAGTACTACACAACCTTAAAAACCCAGTTCAAATTATGCCTTTTCTAAGAAGCTTGAACTCCCAGGTTCAAGCTCTAGCTAACTGTAATCTCTATTCTGATGAGCACCATGATGTAATGGAAAGGGCATGGGCTTTGAAATTCTATACACCTGGGTTTCAAAGTCATTCTATTAAATTTTTATGATAGAAAATATATTTTACTACTTTAAATCTTGGTTTTCCATTTACAAAATTGGTATAATACAACTTACCAAGAAGTAAAAAGGAAACTCTGTGTGATGTGATTGATATCACCAGGAGAGTCAGCAGAGTGATTTCTAAGAAGCTTGAGAAAGGAGAATTTTCATTCATTCAGATACTGAATGAATTCATTCAGTCAAATGTCTACTATGGATCAGACACTTTAATATAAAGAATAATAAATACAGGTCCTGCCTGCTTCACGCTAATAGCCTTAGAATATAAATTCCCCCGCACCCAGGTCTGGTCCTCTACTTTGCAGACTCAGGAGCTTGACCTAGATTTTTAAAATATTTTTTTGAGACTGATCTCTGTCACCCAGGCTGGAGTGCAGTGGTACAATCTCAGCTCACTGCAATCTCTGCAATCTCTGGCTCCTGGATTCAAGCGATTCTCCTGCCTCAGTCTCCTGAGTAGCTGGGACTACAGGCGTGTACTACCACATCTGGATAATTTTTGTATTTTTAGTAGAGATGGGACTTCACGGTGTTGGCCAGGTTGACCTCAAGTGATCTACCTGCTTTGGTCTCCCAAAATGCTGGGATTATAGGCGTGATCCACCACAACTAGCCTTGACCTAGAATTGATTGGATTAATGGATGTGACTCTTACACATGAAATCCTTGAGACTAATATTTGAAACCAGAATAACCATTTCTTTCTTTTTTTTTTCTCTGAGACAGGGTCTTGCTGTCTTCCAGGCTGGAGTTCAATGGCACAATCATGGCTCACTGCAGCCTTGACCTCCCAGGCTTAAGCAATCCTCCCACCTCTCAGTCTTCTAAGCAGCTGTGACTACAGGTGCACATCACCATACCTAGGTAATTTTTGTATTTTTTGTAGAGACATGGTTTTACCATATTGTCCAGACTGATCTCGAAATCCTGGGCTCAAGCAGTCTGCCTGCCTTAGCCCCCAAAAGTGCTAGGATTACAAGCATGATCCACTGTGCCTGGTCTAACAATTTCTTATTAATTCTGAAAATGCAATTGTCAAACAAACTGGTCCCTCAATATTGGTCTAACCACATAGCCATATAAAATCAAAACTAGAAGGAAAACACATTCAAATACAGCTAGTGCTCGACTTACGACCACGATTGGTTCTGACAGACCGGTCGTAACATGATTCAGTCGTAAGTTGAGTAGGCTATATGTACAGTACTGTGAAAAGATGTTATAAAAATCTTTAAGTCATATTTTATCATAATTTTCTTTCATTATTGTTATATATCATAATTTTCTTTGTTCATTTTATGCCATTTGTATCATCTCTACACCATTTTGTTTCTTATTTTTACATTCATCAGGTTTAAGTAAAACACTGCATTACCAGTACACTGGTTTAATATTTGCAAAACATACAAAATTACAAAATACAGGTGCATACAAAAATACAAAATACAGGTGTAAAAAATACCATAGGAAACATTTCCCAATTGCAAAACATATCAAAATATATAAACATGTACGAAACATTTTATTGGTCGCTGGTGCTTGGCTGTGGATCGTTGATGTTGTCATCTGAGGTAGCAGTTGGGGTTGCCGGAGTTGGTTTTTTCATAAACATGGTGAGCTTTGTCTGAATTGTATGTTTCCTTTTTTCTTCATAAATTTCACGATACGGATGAAACACATCGTGCGCCATCCGTTCAATCCTTGCAAATCGTTTGATGTTTGGGTCCATTGCTTTGAAATGTATAAGAAGTTTATTGGGAGGGGTTTGATGAAAAATATCCAAGACACAAAACACAAATTGCTGTACCGAGTCTGGGATAACAGTTGAAATGGTGAATGCGGAGATGGTAGTGCTGCCGGAAGCTGGTCCGCACTGTCCTACGCCCAGCTGGGCAACATTTGCACTGCCAGACGCGGAGCAGTTGTGGCTAGCGATTGTAGTCGTAAAGTCGAATGGTCGTAAGTTGCATAGGTCATAAGTCGATCAATACCTGTATTGAATAGAATTGGGCTATGATAGCTAGATAGATAATTGTAGATTGTAGCTATGTGACAATCTAGACTATCCAGACCAAGAGAAGCTCTGGAGTGATCTACCTCATCTATTTTCCTTTATTTTCTGAAGAAATTGCAGAAGAGGTTCTCAAATGTTCCTATAAAATGTGAAGGTAGGGATGGAAATGTTTGCTACAGATCTCTGCACAAGGTGTTACCTCATGGTGAGGCTGGGAGTGTTTGCAGAGAGGAAGAGATAGAACTCTGAACTAAATTTTAAGCAGGGCATAGGAATCAACATGTGGCAAGAGAAATCATGGAGTAAGTGAGAATGAACTCGACTGAGTATTGGCCATTATGCAATGTGGCAAATCAAAGACAAGATTTCCATATCAAGCCAAAAGAAGTGTCATTATTTCCACACTGATTTTTAAGTTGTGGATTGTTACATGTTTCTTAATATATTATTTAAATTTCTTAAAAGCTGAGACAAGGATTTCCAATAGAACACCATACCCTATAGACAATAGACTCTGAATTAATGGATAAGAAATAAATGAATGATCTGTTTAATCCTTAAAGATGATACACATTATCTAGGCATCATTTGTACATTGGGTAAGCCCCGTATGAGAGAGATATTTGGGGGCTGGAAGAGGGACATGTGAAATGCAGGCCTTAGATGGCATGAGACTTAAATAGTACCAGGTTGGTATCAGAAGGGAGGTTGAAATTTTATCTCTATCATCATCCTATCCCTTTGATATTCAGGTGTCCAATAAAAGAGAAATCTCTAAGACATATTGGTTGGGCATGAGTAAAAGAGAAAATATAGAGTCAAAATAATCTTACCAAAATAGTGTTTCTCTGGCTTTGTCCACATTCACTCTGCAGGCCATTTATTCCCTCATAAAACTGTAGAGTATATAGTAATCATTGTAAGTTGCTAACTGTTATTTTTATATGTCTATCTATCCATCACTAGGTTTGTTCCAAAAAGGATTTGAGAAGGCTTGCACAAATACAGCAAGATAACAATAAAAATAATAAACACAACTAAAATATATAGAAGGAAGTCAAGGTCAATACTGAGAACAAGAAAAGAAAAGAAACTAAAACCAAGGGTATTATTCACCCACAGAATGCCGGATTTAGGGATCTGCGTACTTGCTATAAATGGGGTACAAAACTGTGATACTGAGCTTTCTTATATAAGCACTTGATCTTTGCTGGTATATTCTAATTCCTTGGGAAATCCAAGTTCCTTACAACATGAAGCCATAAGAGAATCTGTAAGGAAGGGATAAATTAGCATTTCTTCAGGTATACTATCCTATTTTCTTGGGTATAACACTATGGTACATTGTTAGTTTAAAAACTGTTATCAAAGATTTTCAATTCCTACAGCATGTTCTTTAAGGGAATTTTCATTTCTATTCTATCTTGCCACAATCCCAATCCTTTTACTTCTTTTTATCTTTTTAAAATAGAATCCTGCTGCTCCTTTAAGACATTCATTCAAGGACACTCCTTGGATTTACTACCACTGCTGCTTTAAATAAGAGATAAGTAATTTGTTTATTTTATTTTTTAAAAAAGTCAATGAGATGGGAACTATATCCAGCTACTGAGAGTAATAAAAGTTGAGATATAAAATAGCTATACTTTACATTTCCATATTAAAGCTGGTGGCAGGATCACTGTGAGCCATCTGGAGCTCATAGGTCTAAGAGTATACACAGTTTAGATCTAATAAAGCTGGGCATGCATAGGTGTGCCAAGAGATACTCACTAAAAGTTGTGCTTCAAGGGCTGGAGAATAAAGCACACTCTCTGGAGTACTGCTGTTTCTTTACCGCTTTAAAATAAATGAAATTGTACTGACTTTAGCTTATAAAAGTTACAGACAGTTTTGGAGCCCCAAATTTCCTCTTCCTACAAAGCAATCACAAGCAGGAATATTACAAATGCTGAAAAAATTTTGGTACTACCAAGAATTAGGAGACTTAATTGCGGCATTATGGAAATTCATAAGCATGCTAAAAGTTTTGCATGAAGCAGCTTGAGCATCTGAAAGTTGTGTTAGAGGATAAATGAATAAGCTGGGTACAGTGGCTCACGCCTGTAATCCCAGCACTTTGGGAGGCCGAGATGGGCAAATCATGAGGTCAGGGGATCAAGACCATCCTGGCCAACATGGTGAAACTCTGTATCTACTAAAAATACAAAATTTAGCTGGGCATGGTGGTGCATGCCTGTAATCCCAGCTAGTTGGGAGGCTGAAAAAGGAGAATTGCTTGAACCAGGGAGTTGAAGGTTGCAGTGAGGCAAGATTCCAAGATTGTACCACTGCACTCTAGCCTGGCGACAGAGTGAGACTCTGTAAAAACAAAAACAAACAAACAAAACAAAAAACTAAGCCAGAAGATAAATGAATAAATTTATAAGAAGTATAGGTAGCTTTGCCTGTCAACTCAATTAGTGTTCCTAGAAGTTTTATTTTCAGTTAGACACAAAGATTACTTAAATGGTCTTTCATGGGAGAGGACCACTTAACAGAAGGTAACAGGATCTCCAGTAGATTGTGGTCCTATAAAATAGGGCCTTCACCAGTTGGCCACAGTACTATCCTTCTATCTTAGAGTAACTTAACCTGAAGTTACCATTCTCCTATGCTTTATTTTACTCAGTGTGAATTTTATCTTCTAAAAGCTACTGAAAGAAATGTATGGTCACTATGTAAGTCAGAAGATGCTTCAGCCCAGTCCACAATTAAACATTGCTTTGGTAGAATAACTGGCAATAAGCTAGGGGGCTAAAGAAGTCCCGTTTTAAAGGAATAAAGTATAGACTAGGTTATGGTTTGATGAAGAGCCTCCCTCTACCCAGGAGCATTCGTTAATTTTAGGCTGACATTTGATATCTCAATACAAACAATTAAGCCAGAGCAATGAAAGGATATATTCAAAGTGTTGAAAGACAAGAGTGCCAACCAATAATTCTATAGCCAACAAAAACATCTTTTAAATATGAAGAGGAGCAGAGAATAGTTTCACAAAACCCATTGCCTCCTCATAATAAAAACACTCTAGAAACTAGGAATAGAAGCAACATTTTTCAACTTGATAATGGGCATTTATAACAAACCAACAGCCAACATAGAATATAATGCTGAAAGATTGACTATTTTCCCCTAAGATCAGAAAAAAACAAGAATTTATATTTTTGGCACTTCCATTCAACATTATGTTGGAGGTTCTAGGAAAAGAAAGAAAGGAAGGAGGGAAGGAAGAAACGAGGAAGGAAAGAAGAAAGAAAGAACTATAATTGCCTCTGTTTGCAGATGACATCGTCTTATATATAGAAAATCTGAAGAAATCTACTAAA